AACATAGGCCCAACATGGATTCATTTTCTTTCTTCCAAACCTGCTCTCTTGCCTCCCCTATGCACATCTCACTCATGGCGAGAAAGCAGCAGGAATCCGAGCTGCCCCTGTCCCTGACCTGCCACACACTGCCTGACAGATTGCACCTCCTCCTTCCTAGCTACTGCTGTAGACTGCCGTTTGACCTCAATATTTCTCTTCTCATTTAGGTTGTCAGAATCCATGCTTCCTGCTCTTAGATCTTTCACTCTGCCACACCAGCAATCTTGCTGCAATATTCTCATCCTGTTGCACCACTAGTTGGGAACGGTCCATGGCTCCCCATCGCTCAGGGGATAAAGACCCTGCTCTTCAAAATGCCTCAAGGGCCCTTTTACAGGTCAGACCCCTAACTTTCTCTCTCCTCTTTGCTCCATACCAATGCCTGTCTTTCTCCTGCTGCCTTGCTGTCTGCCTGGGCTACAACGTCAATTTGAGAGTGTCCGGGGCAAGGGGTCCCTGCTCAAAGGCTTGTTTGATCTCCAGATAAAGTTGACTAGTCTTTCCCTGGAGCTCCCAAGTTTAAGTCCCAGTGCCCACAAGGCTTTTAGATGTGTGTGTGTTTCTCTGGCCCCATTACAACTGGAGTCTCTGGCCAGGCACAGTGGTGCACACCTGTAATCCCAGCAGCTCAGGAGGCTGAGGCAGGAAGATCACAAGTTCAAGGTAAGCCTCAGAAACTTAGCAAGGCCCTAAGCAACTCAGTGAGACTCTGTCTCTAAATAAAAAATAAAAAGGGCTGGGGATGTGGCTCAGTGGTTAAGCACCCTTGGGTTCAATCCCAGGTACCAAAAAAGAAAAAAGAACTGTAGTCATTGAAAGCCACAACGGTGTCACCTGGCACAATGGCTGGCATGGTGACAGTTCCCTTCCATGAAATCCTAAATGGATGTGGAAATGAGAAGATTAGCCAGAGCAAGTGGATACAAATGCAAATGAGGCTTTCCACTGGCTCTATCTGTAGGTGGTATAAAAAAGGGGACAGAACACCTATAATGCTCAGGCACCTCTGGGAGAGAGGAGATTAGGGATTAAGTGAGGAAGACTAGGACAGGTGGCCTTCTGTATTGGTGGGTTCCGCCTGGGCGGATTCTATCAACCTCAGGGAACTGAAAATGTTCAGCGTTAAAAGATTTGTATTGCACTGAACATGCACTGACATTTTTTCTTGTTATTATTCCCTAAACAATACAGTATAACAACTATTTATATAGCATTGACATTGGAGTAGGTATTGTGAGAAACCTGGAGATGACTGAAAGTATATAGGAAGGTGTGTGTAGGTTCTATGCAAATATTATGTCACCTTACATAAGGGACTTGAGTATCTGTGGGTTTTTTTTGTTTTGTTTTGTTTTGTTTTTAAATCTAGGAGTCCAAAAGAAATCCCTGCAGATACTGAGGGAGGACTATATTTAGAAGAAAGTTAGACAAAGAGGAAGGGGGGGGCCCACTGTGGCTTTAAGAGTGGGCAGTGGGGGGCTGAGTTTGTGGCTCAGTGGTAGAGTGCTCGCCTAGCATGCATGAGGCACTGGGTTCGATCCTCAGCACCACATAAAAACAAAATAAGGTGTCCACCTAAAACTAAAAGTACATAAATAAATAAATATTTCTTAAAAAAAAAAAGAGTGGGGAGTGGGTCTGGCGTGTGGATGGAACTCCCAGTGGGGGTTGGGGAGGGGTGGACCATGCATTAGCATGCAGGGCTGGCATGTGAGACCCAAGGGGCAGAAACTGGGGACATGGAAGTGAAGGACAGACAAAGATGCCTCTAGGAGTCAGGAGGTGGGATGAATACGGGTATGAGAAGAACCATGGATATTACGATAGAGACTTTCCTGCACCCCTCCTCCAGGAAGCCTCCCCTGGCCCAGCAGGCTCTCCCTGTGACATGGGGTTAGGGGACTCTTCAAATACCCTGGATTTGTCCTTCACGGTCCTTCTCAGAATTGCAGTCAAATAGGTGTTCATTTAAAATCTGCTTCCACTTCAAGAAGACAAGGATCTGAGGACAGATACTCTGCCTGGTCCATATTGGAGGCTCAATTAGGACGTGTTGTATGAATGATGGCTCAAGCAATTGAACAAATAAACCATGAATCAAACAACTAGGTGTCTAGAACGCAAGACCAAGGAGCCAAGATGCCCCCTCAATACGAAAAAGAAGGCATGGAAGGCTACGAAGAGCCCAACAGATAACCTAGAACACCATGTGGGCCAATCTGTGCAGCTCTGTTATCATAAGGCCCATGAACCTGGGGATTAGAGTCATCTTTTTTGTGTGTGTATGGTATTGGAGATTGAGCCCCAGGGTGCTCTACCACTGAGCTACGTCCCCAACCCTTTTTATTTTTTTATTTTGAGGCAGGGTCCAAGGCTGGCCAGGAATTTATGATTGTCCTGCAGCAGCCTCCCCAGTAGCTGGGATTACAGGTATGTACCACGGTGCCCAACTCTTTTGCATTTTTAAATGGTTGAAAAAGAATCGAAAGAATGACATTTCCCAGCACAGAGAAGTCATTTGCAATTCACGCATTTCGGTATCCATAAATATAAGTTCTATTGGAAGAGAGCTATACCAGTTCATTTACATATCACCTGTGGAGTTTCACACTGCCATGGTAGATTTGAGCAGCTGTGACAGACACCATAGACCTAAAATATTTATTACCTGGTCCTTTGGAGAGAAAGTCTGTTGACCAATGAGCTGGAGCATCCCTGGGATCACTATACCCCAAGATCTGCAAGAAAGTTCTGCCCCAGTGGCATATGCTAAAGTCCAAATCCTGGGAAAAAAAGCTGCTAGACACCAGCTGTTGATGTGGTGACTGAAATATCCATTGGTAAATTCAGTGCTATCAATGGTAGTACTCTCATGCCATGAACTATTACCTATGTCACACCCATTAAGAATGAATCAGGATGAAATGCACAAAGTATTGAAAAATGTACATAATACATTAAAAAAAATTTTTTGTAGTTTCATATGGACAGAAAGCCTTTATTTTTTTATTTGTTTATTTTTATGCAGTGCTAAGGATTGAACCCAGTGTCTCACACATTCTAGGTAAATGCTCTGCCACTGAGCTACAGTCCCAAGCCTCTACAATACATTTTTGAAGTTAATTTAATTCCAGGTGCAGTGGTTTGTATCTGTAATCCCAACGACTTGGGAGGCTGAGGAAGGAGGATCGAGAGTTCAAAGCCAGCTTCAGCAACTTAGCAAGGCCCTAAGCAACTCTGTAAGATCCTGTCTCTAAATAAAATACAAAAAAAAAAGGGGTGGGGATGTGGTTCAGTGTCCCTAGGTTCAATTCCCAGTACCCTCCCCACCATAAAGAAAGAAAGATATTTAAAGGATAATATGGATAGTACTTTTTAATTCATTTTAAGAGAGTCAATATACATACACTTATAAGATGAGAGAATACAAATATCTGAAAGAAGACATGTGATAAAAAGCTCTAGGAAATAGGGCCAGGGATTTTTTTACTTTTGATTTGAATTCCATTTGTACTCATTGAATTTTTTTTTACCCGAAGAATATTAAAAAATATATTAAAAAAAAAGATAAACAAAGATGCTGATTTGAGAAAGCCACTTTCCTCCCCATGCCCTTTGGCAACAGAGTGGCTAATTTGACAACAGATCCAAATTCTTGATGATCCAAATTCTATTCTGCATCTCCCAGAGGGAGAACTGCATACAAACACCGTCGTCTGAAACCTCAATTCTCAGATGAGTAGGTTGAACTGCTCGTTGTGTTTTGAGGAAGCAGGAAACTAAGACAGTTAGAAATAGTCTCACTTCCCTTTTCCTAGAAACTCTGGTTACCTCTTCATTTAGAACACCCCAGTTGAGCTTGCAGAAGGTCAGGTTGCCAGGGGATACCAATAAACCAGCTGTCCAGAGTGGCAGATGACAGTTTCCTTTGTGTCTCCCTTTGAACAGCAGCTGGTTCTCCCATCACTTCCTCCCGTGAAGGGTCACAATCATAAGCCATATTAACGATCCCCCCCTCCCCAGGGGCAAGAGGTGGCTATGAAGTCAGGCACGGATGGAAGAAGTGAGAAACCACGGCTGAGCCAACAGGGGGATTCGGGTAGAATTTCATGACCCCTTGGCACACCTTGGCACACGTGTCTATTGATTCCTTCCAAATTTAACTTTCCCTGGGCTGATTCTCCTGGTTCTCTCTCATGGGAAAGTCCTTGGGGAGTCACGCAGGCCAAGACACTGGGCTCTTAGCTAGTTTGCCCTGCGCTGCCCTCGACCCACAACTTGAACAGTGTCCTGATAGAAGCTGCCACATAGCACATCCTTTGACAAGTCTCCTCTTCCCTATATCCAAATGGAGTCATTTGGAAAGTCCAGGAAGTCCAAAATACTTAGGGACATGGGGGTGCAGACCTACTCAGCTCAGAAACGCACATGCAACCTGCGCTATCAGGCCAGTGAGATAGTTCAGTAAAGAGAAAAAAGATATTGCAATAAAATTAGAGAAAGTGTACATTTGCAATCCCTGTTTGGGAACATCAGTATCATTAGAACATTCGACGTTCCAGGAAAATAGGCAGTAGCTTAAACCTGTTTAGCTTAATCTAAACCAGCTTTGAGATCCCTTTGGAAAGCTTTCAAGATGCCATTTGGAAACATGGCCTCAGACCCTGAGGGAGGATTCTACGAAGATGCCCAGCACAGATGTGAGGTTCCAGGGATGAGCTGAACCTCCCAGGACAGCCTTCTACATGAAGATTCTCTAGGAACTACAGACCCAGGCTTGGATCCCTAACACCCACACTATGGGGCAAGCAGGAGTCTACTGTAACCCCTGAGCACGTATTTTGAAGGCAAATGCCTGAGAACCAGGGGGTAAGGGTGGGAGGTAACCAAAGGAGAAGAAAAGCACCCTTCCAGAAAGACAGACACCCGCACTGATACATTCCCCAAGCAGGACTCACCATTGGTGGTCGTGTTGACATAGTAACGCCGGCCCTGAGGGGACAAGTAGCTCTGCCAGCCAGGTGGAAGGACAACCGTCTGGCTTTCCTCTCCGGGCGGAGGGGGGACCATTCCAGGCTTCTGTGGAAGAGCAAATAAATGTCAAGATCATTGTAATGTTTTGAGCAACTAATAAAAAAATTAAAAAAAAAAAGATCACTCACATTTGGCATTTATGCAACTGTTTTTAAACCAGAAAGATAGAGGCCGAAGAAGTTACCCTGGAATTGCTCCATGTTGGGAACAGCAGGAGAAAGGTCAGGTGACACAGGTGCATGACTCAAGGGCTGCATGAGGAACACTGGTTCCTGCAAAAGCCCTTTGCTGAAGGGACCGATCCTCTGGAGCATGGAGGGAAATGCCACTTAGCTAGCAGACCTGGGCTTTCTCCTCCTGGGACTCTCTACAAAGTCCCGGGTGGTGGGGGTGCCCCGCTTGCCAGGGGCTCCTGTCACTCGTGTGCTCCTACTGTGAACCTGAAGCCTCCAATCCACAGGACCACTGAGCACAGTAGCACACAAAGCCCCAGGCCCACTGTGCAAACCTAGCAGAAGTAATGCATGCAAGCCGTGGCAGAGTGGGATGTGAAATATCCCATAATAACATCGAGAATCCATCAAGAGCTGGATCCAGAAAGTCCAGCTCCAGGGGATTTTTCTCACCAATTGTCCAGATCAGTCTGGCAAAGAGAATTGAGATTCTAAGACAAAACAGACCCTGTCTCTACCCTGGATGCAATTACAGACATTGGATTCTTTTAACCATGCCTGGTATGACTCGCCTTAAAAATCAATCAGAGAAAAATATTTACGTCACAGAAACACGATGTAAAATAGACACATGCTAAACGGCACCTGTGGCCCCTTGGTGTTGGGACAGGTGTGATTTTTATTCTCTTCTATTTGTCTGTTCCGTCTAAATTTTCTCCAATAAGCACAAAGATTAAAGTTCTTGGATAAAGAATATTTAAAAATCAGGACTGAGGGTCCAAATGAGCCCACACGATTGCTGTGCCTCTTGAAGAAAAGCAAACTGATAAAAGTCAGAATTCTAACCACAGGAGGGGAATGGAGGTGGGTTTCCCAGCAAGGTCAGAATCTGCTCAGAAACATTAAAGGCCATCAGCTCCCCCAAGTCCTCCGTATCCCTCAGCAGTGCCCACCAGGGCGGTTTCTTTTGGTCACTGATGACCAGTGCTTAGGAAAACAGGATAATAAATTGAAAGGGAGCCGTGGGGAGACACTCTGGCAGGCCGCTCTCCGCTTTGTGCAGGCCGTAATGCCGTGTGTCTCTGCCTCCTGTGGTGCCCTGTGTGCCATCAAGGGGGACAAGCAAATCCTAGCTTCTCCTGGGATTGCCAGTAAACACGGCCTGCCTCTGGCCTGGTGCATGTTTCATTCTGAATTCTCATCACTTAATTAAAAGCTGTCCCCTGTGCCCTGAATGCTTCTGTCTTCTCCGCCTGCTCCTGCTAACCCGCAGGGCCTCTTTGATTCCTCGTGAAGATCGTTTTCTAAGCCAGCAACACTGAGGTGCACAGCTGCTGGGCCAAAAACACCACAGTGTCCCACCAGGCTGTCTGCACACCAATGCGACAGGTCCATTAAGCGTGAGCACACCCCTGACCAGTGCAGGGTTACCTGGGCTTCCGCACATGGCTCTGGCCTCTCTCGAGTTGGAAGAGGGCTCGAGTACATGCAAGACAAATAGCCTAATGGTAAGTAAAGACAGGGAGTGGGGAGAGAAAGCTATCCCCATATAGTAGCTGCACATTTTGGCTGGGGCAGGTAGGAGTAGTTACAGGAGGGCCAAGACTTAAGAAGGAGGGTTTGAGCAGAGCGCAGGGGCGTATGCCTGTAATCCCAGTGGCTGGGGAGGCTGAGGCAGGAGGATTGCAAGTTCAAAGCCAGCCTCAGCAACTTAGCGAGGCTCTAAGCCACTTAGCAAGAACTCTGTCTTAAAATTAAAATAAATAGGGTTGGGGATGTGGCTCAGTGGTGAAGCACCCCTGGGTGCAATCCCTGGAACCAGGAAAAAAAAAATGGAGGGTTTGTCTAAACAGAGAGCTATTCTTGTACCAAAGGGTTAAGATGCTACATTCCCTTTCTTTGAGTCCATATTCCAGAACACCCAAGAGGGGACGGCCACTTGGTGCTCGTCTGAATAACGTAGGAGGAAATGGGAAGTTATTCCAGGGTGTTGAGCCAGGTTCTGAAACTGACACTGCCGTTCACAGCGTCTCCGTGCCAGTCCTCTATACCCTAGTCACGGGGCAACCATGTGACCTCAGGCAAATGACAGCCAGGCTGCTGCCACTTGGGTGAAATGAAAGATGCTCACATCAGCCCAGTCGTGAAAGACGCGAGGGAGATCTACGGTGATACACCTGGCCATCAGGAGAGGGTCCCTGTCACCAGGAGTGCTCCATCGGTGGGGGTTCCCCTTGGAAGGGGGGGGTCTGAGTGGGGCAGGGCTCCCCCAGACCCCATCTTTTGGAATGTGAAGTTCAGGCGAGTGCACACCCTCCCCTCCGACATCACGTCGGATCCCTCCCCTTCCCCTTCACCTCGGAAATGTCACCATCAACAGTTCCTTCTCCGAGGAGTGAGGAGACCTCCCTCCAAGGACCAGAGAGAAGGTGGACTGAAACTTCTGCCACTGGGAACCCACCTATGGAAGAGCAGAAGGACCCTGTTCCTTCTTCACAGCTGCTTGGACTCCTCTCTAGAATAACTCTGGGTAATTTATTTACATAACCCTGTGATGTCAGAAGAAACCCTGGTTGACATGTAAGGACATGGATGACCAAGGAGGTAAAATAACTACCCCAAAGTCTCCCCTACCTAGGAAACGCAGGGGTTTCTGGGAAGGTACCCCCTGATACCAAGCCAGAAAACACCAATAGGTGCCAAGAGAGGGTAGGAGAAGGACCACCAGGCAGACAGCCTATTTTCCTTCAGTCTGGTGAAGGCTACATGGCCATGGGTCCTCTCTCAGCCTGCCACCTGACTGCCCAACCTCCATCTTCTGAGACAGCCACAGGTCCCTTGTCTCCTCCTTTCTTAGAAAGAAGTTCCTCTTATTGACTAACCTCAAACAAATCAGGAGGCAAAAGACGTGGCGACAACGGGGTATACATCCCCCGACCCAAGTTGAAAACAAGCGTCCAACTCATGTTCAGGGCCACTTCTTCGTAAGGGCACCCAAGTGCAAGCAGCTCAGATGCCCCTCCAATGGGTGGAGGGAGAAGTCAGATTTGCCTCATGCACCCACATGATGGAACAGCACTCAGAAATAAAAAGAAACTGAGAGCTGACACATGCCAGGACACGGAGGAGCCATGGAGGCATCATGCCAATTGCAGGAAGCCAGACAAGAGGGCCACGTGTTATATAAGTCTATCTACATGAAATGTCCACAGCAAGCAAAGCCGTAAAGACAGAAGTAGTTTGTGGTTGCCAAGGGCTCAGGGGAGGGAGAATGGGTACCGGGTTTTCCCTTTAGGGTGATGAAAATGTTCTGAAGCAGACAGGGGTCTTGGGTTGCATAGGATCATAAAGGTAGCATAGTCATAAATGGGCCATTTTAGTTGAGGTATAATTTAATACAATAAAAAATCATATGGTAGCCGGGCACAGTGGTGCACGCCTATAATTCCAGTGGCTTGGGAGGCTGAGGCAGGAGGATTGCAAGTTCAAAGCCAGACTCAGCAAAAGTGAGATGCTAAGCAATTCAGTGAGACCCTGTTTCCAAATAAAATACAAAATAGGCCTGGGGATGTGGTTCAGTGGTTGAGTGCCCCTGAGTTCAGTCCCTGATTACCCACCCCAAAAATGATATGGTAAAGATAGAAGTTAGATCCACTTACAAGCCTTCACTTCAGAGGCCAAATGCACCAATATTACCTCACTCTTAATGGCCGTGGAGAGGCAGGAGCAGTTGGCCTCCTGGGAGAACTGCCCGTTGTCAGTCATTACAAGTATACAGCATGATAAATACCTACTAATTAAGGTCTCTCCTGAACTACTTCTTCTAATTAGTTTCCTTCCAAGTTAAATCCTTCCCTTCCCTTCCTCAGTCTTGTGGCTTCTCTCTTTCAATTCTGTCAGCTCTTTCCCTTGGGAATAGGAACAGGAGACAGAGGGCACACGGTGAGGGGGCAGAGGGCCCTACCTGGCAGGGAGAAGATTAGAAGTAGCAAGGGTGGGATGGAAGAAAATGAAGGCAGTGTCCTCCAACTCAGAAATTCTGCATCTAACACAGAGATGTCTTTGTGGGAATTATAAAACCCTGTCTCTTCCTCTGGGAAGAGCCATCCCGGACCAAAGTGCAAGCTGGATTTTAATCCTTTCCATCCTTATTTGTTCAGTCAACAACTTGCTCAATTGTATATGAAACTTAGCAATCTGCTGTATACTCCCAAATGGGTGCACGGGTCTTTCATCCTGTAGCACGCATCAGCGCATCACTTAAAAAAAATCTGAATATTGTTCCATTGTATGGAAATACATACCACATTTTGTTTATCCATTCATCCACTGATGGACATTTTGGGTTCTTTCCACTTGGGTGCCATTATGAATAATGTTGCTATGAACATTCTCGTCCATGTTTTTTGGGGTTCACCCTATTTCATATGTACTATGGCAAGGCTCAGTTTTGACCACCTCAAAACCCTAGTCTGGTAGGTTCTCTAGAAAGAACTGAGATGAGATTCCATTTGCACATATTAGCGATGACTTTCATCAGTCACCAAATGTCTACAGTGTACCAGGGACTGGGCATGGCGCTTCACACAATCACCTTATCTTCACAACTAGCCTGAGTCATAGATGGCCATTTATTCCCATTTTAAATCGAGGAATTAAAATAAGAGTCAGAGGGCTTAATAGCTTGCCCTATGCTGCACAGCTAACTGAAGGGTAAAACCAAACTTCTTTAAAATGTTAGTTTTGGGCTGGGGGTAGAGCCCATGCTTAGCATTCAAGAGGCCCTGAGATCTATCACTAGCATCAAACAAGCAAAACAAAAATATTAGCTGCGTTCTAGAGACTTCTATCCAGTTCCCTAATGCCAGGTTA